AATATCATTGTGCTATTGGAATCAGTAATGAGTTTCAAGTCAATTCCTTAGTGTATGAAATTTTTTTTATCGTGACAACACTACAAAAAAGTCCAGGCTTATTCTGAAATCCTAGACTGAAACCATGTCTGAGTCAAAACAGAGGTAATTCATTCAAAGGAGCAATATGATGCTATTTCCTGATCTAGGTTATAATGTAGTTTCTTTATCACACAAACACAGCAGATTTAGGCTTAGGACTTTGGGTGTTTGCATGCACTAAAGAAATCTGATAATTTTTTCGTGTATTGTTAGAGTAGCTGTTGTATTTTTTAAGACAAAATACAATTGTTTCCTCATCACAACATACCTGGAGTTGTGTTTTGTTTCATTCACATGTTTTACACACAAACCCTGCATATTTATAGCCAGGCAATTTAATTTTTCTCCAGCGACTAGGTCAGGAATCAAAATACAATAGACGGTTCGCAAAAACCCCGGAAGTGCAAGTTCGGGCACCAGTCAATCAGCGAAGAGTGATATATTCAGTGTTGTCAACGATTCCCGAGATCGAGGATTTAAAGTCGGCATAAAGAGAATGTTTGGTGAATTTTATCAAGGGGAAAGATGTTATTGTCCTTCTTCCTACGGGATTTGGTAAAAGCTTAATATACCAGTTATTCCCGTTAGCGGTGCATTACATATGTCACGACCAAATAGCAGTGATTGGTTAAATGATAAAAAGTACCCGCCTACTGTCGAGCGAACGAATCCTAATGATGTGTCAGTCAGGTCAGTATGAAGTTAAATGAAGTAAAACCGGCTGATTAATCAGGCTAGCATATTTAGGTTTCTTCTCTCAAACTAAAAACACACTGTTCCACCTTCTGATAACGCATGGTAATACAAGAAGTGCTCCACTGTGTTTTTAAACTCTGTACACCTTCACTAGAATCATTTGGATCATTTCACCCTTGGAAGTGCACCCGTTTATTGAACAAAAGGTAAAAAGGCAGCTGTTAACATCAAAACAACCACTAGATGACATAATAAGGCAGAATAGAACATTTTGAACTGGAGCCGAGATACAGACAGACTAATAATAAAGGGTTACACAAACACGTGAATAAACAAACCACAACGTCAGGTATGCTCTCGATGAGGTAACAACATTCCAGCACGATTAAAAGCTCCCAAGAGTCCATTAAGTGTAATATAGGACCTTTAAATCTTAATATTGAGGGTATTCCATCAAACAAGTCCAGGCTTATCTGAAATCTGGAGCTGAAACTCCATCACGAGCCTCAAGTCATTCCATGCAAGAAATAAGTCTGGGTTTAACAACCACTAATTCAGGCTTGAGGTTTGAGCCGTGCTTTGTGTACCCTGATTAATCTATTGTAGGAAGAAACATCAGCCGTAATCTTTTGTTCTGACTATAAAAATTTAAGATAATGTTAATAAATTGTAGACTATAGGAATGCATATTATTTGTCCCTTTTAAATAAGGGCAGAGTCCTCAAACATTTCTAAATAGTCTGTGGGAGCACTGTTGGGCAAGTTACTTCAAAACTGTAATACATTATTTATTTATGACTTGTTACTGTCATTTCAAAGTAATTCGTTACATTACAATAGTACTGCATTTAAAATTTAAGGCATTACATTACTCTTGCAGCACTTTAAAGTTACTCTCACCAAAATGACTGAAGATGGTGAACATTTGCACCATATATGGACTGAACCAGGACTGAACCAGGTCTAAACCAGATCTAAACAAGGACTAAACCAGGACTAAACCAGGACTAATCTCGGACTAGAACTTGGAATCTAGGATCGCCCCTGAGAGAACCCTGAGCCCGTGGAACAAGGTGTCTGCAAGGGACAATCGGGCGTCAGCTGCGATTAGCCCCTTGGAGCGAGGAGTTCTGTGCCGGTCCTTTCGCTCATGGTCACCCGACGGTCTATGCAGACGCATCTCTGGCATTTCACCGCCGCTGATATCACAGTGATTTTTGTGAATTTGTATGATAAAAAAACACCACTTCAATCCAAGTTAAAAAAGCATTGTGATGCGCATTACTGACATTTGTACTGAGTAAAATATTACTATTTTTTTCCTTGTAATGCCTTACATTACTGCGTTACAGCAAAAAGCAATGCATTACAGTAATTTGTTACTTTTATAACGCGTGACTCACTGAACACTGTGTGGGAGTATGTGCCTGTATTTGCTAAATGACGATCAATATTTTTACTGTGTATTTTTCTCATTGCAATTACCAATCTCTTCATAAGTCTGGGGCGGCTCTTGAAAGAAAAATCATCTTTTAAACTGTGTTCACAAAGAGACAAGTGATCTAACGCAGGTATGTGAGAACACAAGGTGGAACTTTTGTTTAGTGTTTGTTTAGTCACTGTTAGAAACCAAGCGAAATTAATGTTGTCAGTGAAGGCCAGATTTATACCTGGGTGTTTCTTTGCATTTCAGAGCCAAGTCGGTTAGCCGCACTGATGGGACAGAAGTGAGCCTGCCTTTGCCAAATAAGGCAGTCTTTGAGTTGATCTAACCTCACAGAATACTCCCATTATCTAGTAGTAAATAGATCTGTCACAATAAATACTATATTGACTTTGTTCAATACACGATAGATGGAGCAATAACTTTTAGCTGTACATTTTTATCATGGGGAGTCTTCTTTGTATGAGGAGGAGTTTTTCTTAGATTTCCATACTATAAGGGTTGAAATAAATTTTTTTTTATGACCCATTATAGATACAAAGTACTTAAAGGTCCTATATTATGTGAAACTGACTCTGAGCTTTTTACCATTTTATAATGTTGTTACCTCCTCAAAAATATACCTGGAGTTGTGTTTTGTTTTCATACATATTTGAGTAAACCTTTATTATTAGTTTGTCTACATCTCCCAAGCTCAAAATGCTCTGTTCCACCTTGTGATGTCATGTAGTGGTGCCTCACAGCAAGAAGGTTCCGGATTTGATCCCCAGGTTGCCCAGGCCTTTCTGTCTGGAGTTTAACTACCTAATCTATCACCATATCTGTGTGTTTATGCTGAAAATATACTGCAATACTTCAACTGGTAAGAGTAAGAGTTCTATGCATTTTGAGCTATTATTACTTGTCCAGCCCCTCTCTACTGGTCCCTAAAATCTGTTTATTAGCGGTCCTTAAGAGAAAAAAGGTTTGGGACTCCCTGTATTACCACATGACATCACAAGGTAGAATGTTTCAGTTTCAGAGTCATTCAAAATATGGAGGGTTTGTGTGTTAAACATGTGTAAATGAAACAAAACCCAATTCCAGGTCTGTTTGTGATGAGGAAACTACATACGTAGATCAGACAACAGCGTAATATGGGCCTTTCAATCTTGACAGTTAGGACTTGTCCTGACCAGGTTTATAACTGGGTGTTTCTTACCGTGGCAACTCCACGTCAACTCTGGATTTCCAAAATAATCAGGTGTTAAGCTTAAAGTGCCTATGACAGGTTAGACTACTCATTTTAATAAAACACACTTAAGATCATTATATTTAAGATATTTCCAAAAGCATTCATTCTTGTTTTCCCTATTTTTCCCTATTATGTAAGCTTAAAATTGTACTTCCTGGTTGGGAATCTTAACATCCCTGTAGAGAATTCCATAACTGTCACCTAGAAAATTTCCTCCAATGCACATCTTTATTTTGTTGAATTAATGTTTAATTTAATTTAATGTAAAATATCAGTAAATGTGTAAATTGTCCCAAACTCTTGGATAGAATTCTCCCAGTGAGATGCCAACAATGTTTTAAAACCCTCTACTTCTTGTAATTTTAAACTTATTTTTCAACTTCTCTTCAAAAATTGCTTCTTGATTGGTGTAAAACTATAATTTATATTTACAACGATTGTATCCACTGTTCTTTTTTCGATCATTACCTAAAGCTCATGACCATAGGCTTTGGGTAATGACCGAAAGAACAAGATCGCAGATACAAGTGGTCGAAATGAGTTTCCTCCGCAGAGTGACTGTGCGCTTCCTTAGAAATGGGGTGAGGAGCTCAGTTACACGGGAGGAGCTCATAGTTGAGCCGCTGCTCATCCACGTTGAGAGGAGCAGCTGAGACTCGGGCATCTGTTCCGGATGCCTCCTGGGCTGCGCCTGTGACCCGGCCCGGATAAACGGAAGAAAATGGATGGATATTTAAAACAGGTATTATCTCACCAAATTAAGTAAAAATGACAGAATCATAAAACTCTATAATACTGGATTGGCAACGACCATAAATGGTACCGTATTTTCCACACCATAGGGCGCCCTCGTACACGAATCCACTCGGGTGTCCCAGCGCGACTTCAGTAAACTACAAAGCCGCACCACCCGCAGCGCACGCAAACACACATGGAGCAGACAGCGACCGCACAACGAAAAACACTCGCAGACACACTCAACACTCCACGCGGACGAGGAACAGAACGGAAGAACGAACCGAAAAAGTGAGTGCAATGTGCCACTTCTAGACACAACTGAACAACTGAGTCACACCACAGTGGACACACCAACAATCCAGCGGTCCCAGACAGCACCCTTCCTACACGCCACAACTGAAAAAAGCCCAGAGTCACCGTGAACGCACCAAACAAAGTCCGCCTGAGCCATCTAACTGTTGTGTTTCGCTTGAAGTCCGGTGCGGTTTATTTGTGAAAAAAGTTTGAAAATAGACCAATAAATGACAGTGTGTGTCCTTAGAGTGTCCTTAGAGTGCGGAAAATACGGTAAATGGCCAAACTTTTATATAAAGCTTTTCCACCTCCAAAGCGCTCACACACATTCATACACTAGTACACGCAAAAAAAAAAAAAAAAAAAAAAAAAAATCCCACTGGGGCGAAGTGGGTTAAGTGTCTTCCCCAAGGACACAACGATAGCAATAATGTTTTATGTTGAGAGCTAGAGTCAAACCTCTCACACAGACTGAAATGGATCGTGTTAGGATTTACGTCTCCCGTCTCTCACCGTCGTTGGCGTGGCGGACACAGTCTTGGAGGACGGCGTGCCATTTCTGGTGCTCCTTCTCCGTGGTGACGCAGAAGTAGTGGTGTTTGGCGTACGGGTGCCACAGGACCAGAGGGAACTCGGACGGGCACTTCAGGAACGGAGAGCTGCCAACCTTTGCTTTCACACCTGAGAGAGATCAGCAAAACATCAGACGACACCCTGGTATTACGGGTCAGACAGTGGAGAAAGGGAATATTAAAAGATGCACTGTGTAACTTTTTGGCTGGGGTTGGGTCTGATGTCATTGCTCTGCCTGGAATATTCCACAGTATGACTTAAAACAGCTCTACTTAATGGTTATTCAATTACAGGTGCTTTTATAGCTCAAAAATACCTTGAAAAACAGGCATTCTGACTGTGAGCGGGGTCGCCTTTCCACAGATCTGACCTGTAACTTGGTCATGTTTGGTCTCCATGAAGATATAATGTTTTAACACCATACTGTGAAACATTCCAGACAACGCAATAGCACCTCCACGAAAAAAAAAAAAAAAAAGCATTTGACGGACCCTTCCACCGGAAAAGTTACACAATGCACCTTTAAACTCAATGTCAGAATTTTTATCTTGTTTTGAGATCGTTTTCACATTTGAAACAGGAAACCGACAATGGGGATCAACAATACTGCACACTTTGAAGGCCGCTGTGGTTCTGTAAGTAAAATTCTCATTTGGTTTTCTCATTTACTTTTAAAATTTCAAATATTAAGTGAGAAAGTAAGGAACTCTAAGTAACAAAAAACTGGGACACACCTGAGCTGGGATGGTTGGTAATAAAATTGTGAAAGAGAGCTAAACGTTGTCCTTTCCTGACTCACATGTGTCAGTAATCTGAGGGACTTCGGCAGCTGCATTTTTTTTGCCTTATGTTTATTTTCAAGCATGTTTTTTTGTATTTTAACTAAAAAAAGCACATAATATCGGTCCCTTAGGGTAGCAAATTGATCAAAAATGGGGACAGCTGGGACATTACTTGTACAAAATTAGAGCAAACCAGTTGTTTTGGTTTTGGAGAAATCTGCTGGGACAGGGGACACAGGGCTCAAAACTCAGACTGACCCGGGTAAATAGGGAGGTCTGGTCATCCTACATAAATAACACAGTTGTTTTCAATTCAATTCAATATAAACATTACAAACTTCAAATGTTTTAATAGCTTAGGGCTTTGTAAAGATTCAGAAACAGGTTTTGAACTAAAGGGACAGTCAGGAATTTTGGACATAGGGCCTCATTTCTTAGTGAGCCAGAGTGTTAGAGACGTGCGGAGTTTTTAAAAAAAATATTTCATCCAGTCCTTGTATTTGCAGAGGTCGCTGGTGCTAGGCTAGTGCATGTCAATGGCCATGGTTACCCTGTCACTAAAAACAGTCTTACCCACTCCACAAAATACCCTAAACAAATCTATTATTACACCAGACTGTCCATGTGAATGTCTGTGTTGATAGAATAATTTTAGAAGTAAAAACAACATTGCATTTGACAGATTTATATCTGAGTTGTACTTCCTGATAGAAAGCTCGGCAGCGGCGGACTGATATCACAGTCAGTAAAATTCCGCTGCTGCTGAGAAAATAGTCCCTCAACATGCGACGATTCATGCAATGCAAGGTTAGTTTTATTTCAAATATTATTCTATCAACATAGACATTTACATCAACAGTCTGGTGTAATAACAGATTTGCTTCGGGTGTTTTGTGGAGTGGGTAAGACTGTTTTTAGCGGCAGGATAACTATGGCCATTGACATGCACTAGCCTAGCACCAGCGACCTCTGCAAATACAAGGACTGGATGGAATATTTAAAAAAGTGTCTCCATACATCTGTAACACTCTGGCTCACTAGGAAACGAGTTCCTATGTCCAAAATTCCGGACTGCCCCTTTAAATTGCAGGGTTTAGGCTCCATCAAGTGTGTATTGAAGATCATTTTGCATATTATAAAGCAGCCAGAAATGTGAGGGTATTATAACTGCTCAAAACAAGATAAATATTCCAACTGTATTTTTTTTTTCTTCCATAAATTTCCGTTAATGTTTCAGGAGAAGAGATATTAGATTCTTGGTTTCAGTTTTATAAGAGGCTTTAATTTCACAAGAGGTTGGTGACGTTTTGAAATTTGAGGCTTAATTAAGGAGACGGCAAATCTTTCATCATTAAGGCCTGAAGCTGAAAATATTACAAACTGATATCTACAGTATTATAGTATTGTAAAAGTATCTATGTGTATTCATTGGAGTTGGTTCAACCTGTAGCAGAAACTTGAACCACTATTTTCGATGAAGCTTTGGCAAGTTCACACACATTTGCTGTAATTTGTGGATTCTGCCTGGCAACATTTTTTGCTCCACCCTTTAAGTACACTACTTTTATGCTTTCAGTTATTCTCAGAGACAGCTTTGCAACCTGAGAAGAAAGAATTGTGAAATCCAATGCATCCAATGTTTTATTTAATTTATGTAATTTTTTTTTTGTCTGAATTGTGTGGAACATTTTGCATTTTAATATCATATATTCTGTACCTTCAATGTCAACTTTTCAAAAACAAAATATGCCAAAAAAATACTCAAGTCTCCTCAATTAAGCCTTAATATTCCGTGTTAAAGGTGCACAATATAATTTTCATGCCCGTCTCCATGGAGATGTCATCGCTTTACCAGGAGTGTTCCACAGTATAGCATTATCTATTGTAGTTCCACTGAGACAAACAGGTGACTCAGGCCAAATTACAGGGCAGATCTGTGGGGAGGCGGGCCCACTCACAGCAAGAGAGCGTGTTCGAAAGCATCAGTGGCTTTCCTAAACAACAAAAACATCTGTTCTTGAATGAATGAACGATAAATAGAAACATATTGTGGAGCGTTCCCGGCAAAGTAATAGCATCGCCATGGAGACAAGCGGGAAATTTACACAGTGCACCTTTACGTTGACAGTGTTCATGTGATTAATGTAAAATTATACAAATTTAAACCCAATTCTTCCAGTGTTAAATAGAAAGTAAAAGAGATAAAAGACTGGTAGAACAATCTTGGATGAGAAGTCACACAGTAGGAGATGGTTAGAAAGAAGATGCTGATTTTCCGACGAGAACCATGTGATTTCATAGATTTTAAGTGAATTTATCTCAACCATAGCTGTGCACAAAAACAGCCTTGACCTGGGCTGGATGAGTCTTCATTGACATTCCCCTCTATCAATAAATAAAGTCAGATACACACGTTAGCCTAAAATAATCACTGTAATAAATAAATACAATTACACAAAACAAAACAATATTCAGAAGAAATGCAAATAATTAACTTGATTTGAGTAGATTTTAATGTCTTTGTTAAAATATTTTTAATAGGCCTGCTGCATAAGACCCTGTACCTGATTTTTTCCCATATATTTCAGCATTGCCCCAGTACAGATATTATAAACAGTTCTTCAGGTCAAAAGAAGTCCACTGTGTAATATATGGATGTAATAATAAACAGTTTTAGTGTCTGATAATCAGGAAGTGCACTGTTAGCAGGCTAGTTTTTGTTAGCCTTTTTGTTGAAGGAAAAACTCTACTCTAGAATCAGAAAGTGGGAAATTTTGCTTATGAACTCTTCGTGGTGGATAATTAGGATGCTCGGAATGCATAAAGTGAGGAATAACTTTGGATCACTGCAAATAACTAGTTCTGTTTTTTCCAGGTTTTTGAGGCTTGAAAATCAGATACAGCGCCTTTAATTGAAGCAGAATTATTATTTCTGTCTTTATACATATATTTTTTGTATTTTTAAATAATAATAATACATTTATACACTTTTACTTATATTCAATCAAAATATTATCAAATTGATGTGCTTTTATTTGGTTTTATCTGTTCACCATAGGGATGCACCGATACCAATACTGGTATCAACTCTCAACCTGGTACTTTAATATACTCGTACTTGTTAAACATTTGTTGATACCATGCACCGATTCCACTATTACATGAAATATTACACAGTATCCTGGTATCCGAGCAAGCAACAGGCGCATCACGCTCCACTATTGCGTGACTCCTATGAGAATTATTTACATCACAGCGGTAGCCAACAAAAATAAGTGACTGTACATGAGTGAAATGAATGTTAAATAAAGAACACTCTGAAAAGTTTAACATGAACCATCTCCAACGATATGTGCACAGGACAGACTCACCATGAGCAGCACATGCCTGTCACAGAAAGAACACCCATATTCCACTCAGTATGTAGTCATGTATGCAAATTAGCCATGTGGTTTTAAGTGTAAAACGTAAACAAATATGCGCAAAGCTGCATTAAACACATTATAATATCATGGTTGTTTGTATTTTTCCTGGTTTATTAAATGTATTAATTATATAATTTTTGCACTTGCACATTTGTAAGATTATGTCAAGAAACTGGGATATTACATTTGATCATGTACACAGAGATATTCGTGTCCTGGTTTCTCAGCACACATGTAAACAGCATATCTCGAATACTGCCATAACCAGGATATGGCTAATAACCGCTGACACTGATGTGCATGTAAACACACTATGTTCATGGAGGTGGGGGTTAAAGTATCGATATTGGTACTCACTAAGTACAGAAATGATTATACTCATACACGTAGTTTTTAAAAAAAGTGGCATCGGTGCATCCCTACTTCACAATATTAAGCAGTTTGTTTGGGTGGATAAAAAATGGGGAAAATAAACCAACAAAAAATAAATATTGTGTCTACTGTAATGTCAACCAAGAATACACATACTTTTGTCAAACTCTGACAGAATAAAGTATCAAAAAAAGAAAAGAAAATCTATAGTCAAAACTACTCAAATCAAGATGCATGTTACGAATGAAACATATTTGACCTAGGTTAGAAACACAAGATTGTGTTTGAAAATAAACTCTTCCTCCCTGGTCCTTACCTGGCAGGCTGTTGCTGATCAGCTCCAGATACTGCTCCATAGACGTCAGCACTTTGTACCCGGCACAGTTGATGGTCCCTTTGGGCTGCCCGTGTTTGTCATGGGACTGGAACCAAAACACACAACAAAAATCTATTACTCACACTTCATCTAAAATCAACACTGAAAAGACAACACAGCAAAAACCAACACTGAAAAAATTCAACACCTACAGGGAGGCAAAAGTACAAATACAAGGGCAAAAAGTTACTTGGGTAAAAGTATCACATGAAGAAATCTGCTTACGTAAAATATTAAAATATCTGTTTAAAAACATACTTAAAGAGTAAAAAGTAAATGTGTTTTGCAGAGATTTTTAGAACAATTAAAAGGATGAAATTTAATGCTTTTGAAAAAGAATTTAGCTGATTTTAAGTGATTAAATTTATTTCTTATTTTTTCTAGTATTTTTTTCTTTTTCATGTATCTGGTTTGCTCAAAGTTGGGACATTAACTCAAATTAATGAGCTAAAAAAATAAACACTGCTTTTTCAACAGGTCTCAAATCATAAAGAAAAGTATTTTTTTACTTTTCAGTCCAGATTTAAAATGCAGTGGAGTAGAAAGTACAGATATCTGCTCTCAAATGTAGTGAAGTAAAAGTAAAGAGTATACAATGTAAAAATGTAAAATGTACTTAAGTACAGATACATAAAATTTGTACTTCAGTCTTGTACTTCATCAATGCTGATTATTACACACTGAATATACATATATATTGCACTTCATGTCTATTATTTAAATGATTTGACTAAAACTAAATATTGATATTTTAGCAGTTTTGACCTACTTAGCATTTAGTCATGAGGTGTAGAAACAGTGATTTATCTGAAATGTATTTTATTTTGCACAATCTTGGAAACGACTGATTTATCATTTTGATTCTGTTTAGGGTTATTGTTTCAAAAAGAGTTCATGTTGCACATTTAAAACTTAAACACAAAAAATATGGAGTGAGACTGAAATATGAACTCAATAAATATATAAATAAATATAAGAATCACATCCACCTCAGAACATACTGTATTTGTAGAAATCTAAACTCCAGAGTGAGTAGGTTTCAGACATAAAAACGGGATACTGATCTATGCCACATAAATAAAATAAATCTGTTCATTGTGTATTAAAGCTAAAAACAAAACTGTTTTCGTTTTTCAGTACTATACAGGGAGTGTAGAATGCACTCACCGATTTGCTTTCGTAAACATTGATGTTGTAACAGTCTGGCACAAGCAGAAAACGGTTCCTCCATTTTTTATTGTCCTCTTGGAACTGGAAGATGGAGCCGGAGAAGATGGACTTGTTCTCTAAAGGAATCTGAAGAAAAAAAGGATTCTTTTTATTATCAACATAAAACAGAGTAACTATTAAATACAAATGTTTCAACAAGTAACATAACATGGAGTGCAGAACACATCAAACACATGGTCCAGCCTTGTCCAAGGTAACATTTAGAGAAACTCTGATTACAGTTACAATGTTGTTGGGATTTTAAAGTTAGTTTAGTAATGTGCATGTTCAAACAATATCCAGCGTTTTGATAATTCAACAAGTTATGTATTAACATTGTTATTTTAAAAATGATCTTTTAGGCCAACAATTTGATTTTAATTACAAATGGAACTTGAATCAATGATTGTATTTGTTTTAATGGTGACGTCTACTCCTGTCAGACTGTGTTAAAGCACAGAGTCAACAAGTCTGCAAATTTACAACTACTATTGCTGTCACAGCTGCCCTGGGGCATACTGACTGAAGCGAGGCTACCAATCTGTGCCATCAGCCCCTCCCACCACCACCAACACTCATGCACACTTTCTGTAAGTGTCTTGCCTAAGGACACAACAACAGCATTTTTGCCACTGGCACCCAACTGCGGCACCTGGAATTCCAAGTACAAACCCGATCTGACCCTGCTTAACTTCTGAGCTGTGGTGAGTCAGGCTTTGACAGGGAGGTTTTGTGCCTGTAAACACACTCCACAAGTCTGATCAAATTCTTATCACATTTTACTGACCACTGTTTCTTCTATAAACAATCGTGATATTAACATTTACCATCTCAACACCCCACAGCGCCCACGTACCTTCCGATGCAGTAGCTGAGGCTGGGGCCCTCCTCCTCCCTCGATGTCGAAGCGCACTTTGTTGAATAGGGCCACAGGGTACTGTTGTTCATACAGCCTGCCCAGCTCCCCCATCACCTCCGCTGTCCGCGCTGGAACAAAAAAAAAAGTACACAGTGTGGCATTAAAAGACCAGCAAGACAAATTACTTATGTCAACACTTAAACTCCGCACTGTAAACACAAAGAGGAACGAGGCCTTAAAAGACTTTCTATTTGAAGTTTATCAGAGGGACTAAGTGACTAAACGCATTATAATGATCTATGTTTATGGTGCAAAAAACGAGAAAGAGATTCATCTGGTTTGAATGAATAGAAGTATGGACACTGCATTCAATAGGGCCTTTTCAAAGTAAATATTTAAAAAAAATGTATTAGTTTATACAAAAATAAAATTAAAAATTACTATGTTTTTTTTTTTTGTTTTTTTTAAATAAAGTTGGGTTACCTGGCCAACAATATACAAACCACATTAATAGGACTATAGTTAATTTACATCAGCATATCTGTATTCTGTATTATTTTTCACTGTAGAATTGACAGTTTTGCATTTTAAATTTTGTCGCAACACTGATAAAAAAACGTTATCTTAAACCACATCAGCTACTCTTGGTATCAGTCGATATCTAGGTTAAGAGTTGATGTAACAAGACTATTTACTGGTTATAGTTGGTCTAGAAAGTCACATGATGTTTGGACTTTTATTTACACAAAGTTGTTCAGTTCTGTCGTGACTCACTTAAAAGATAAATAACACGTCCATAACACATTAGGATCAGTTTTGTCTTATTTTATTTTTGCTTAAAGGAAAGAAATGCTGTTTTCAGTTTCTGTGCTGGTATTGGTTGATATCGGGGGTCTGCTATTTAAAGAATCCAGCTTATTTAGTTCCGATACCGATATTGATACTTTGGCTTCACATGTCTGCCGATACCCAAAATGAACCAATACCAGTGCAAGGACAGAAAATGGCACAAATCCAACTGTGTTATGCAGCTGTTATTAATTCATCAAATCACTAAAGAAGAACTTACTATGAATAAAAGCATTAACATTAAGAGATGTTCTGGGTCAAAGTGAGTCAGAAAATAGAGGAGAGAGAGAAAAGAAAGAAAAGTGAGGCGAGAGAGAGAGAGAGAGAAACAGATATCCAATCCAGCAAAATGTTCAGTATCGGCACCGATATTTGATACCAGTATCCTATCCAGTAGCATCCCTACTAGAGGTGTGCAAAAATATTGATTGATTGATAAATGATGTATCGAGACTGTCAATTAGTCTTTTTTGTTTTGAAACTCGTTGACATTTTCACTGTTTTTATGATTAAAATGGGTGTGTTTCTGATTAACTTTGCACAAGAAGTGGTTTAGTTTAGTTTAAAACCAGTGTGGTTTTCTTGAACTGGAAGTGGTTTTATTTAGGGCTGTCGCAATAACCGCATAAATGAATCACCACGCGGTACTAAGAGGTCCACCGCGGTGAATGCTGGGACACCGCGATCATCGTACGTGACCACGTGACCCGACCCAGAGTCCTGCACAGGTCCAGAGACCCGCACCCGCCCGGGCCCGATAATATTCCACCCATTACCGCCCGTGCCCGTGATAACCCGTGATAACCCAGGACTAACCCAGGACTAACCCAGGACTAACCCAGGACTAACCCAGGACTAACCCAGGACTAACCCAGGACTAAGGTGCGCCCATGAAGACCGTGCGTGTCAGCAGGCGAAAGGACCGCCGCTGCTCCATGCCACATGGATCGATTGATCACGCTTTGTGGACAGCCTGCTCCACGTGCTCTCTTAAGTCCGCAGGACTCTGACCTGAGCTGCCACAGTGAGAGCTGGAGAGATGCAGCGGCACTTGTTCCAAAGCCAAATGTTACTTCTCCCCCCCAGCACACACTATATCCACATGACAACCAAGGTACATGTGCTTCTGCACAACAAGCGCATCATCAGAGAGAGTTTTCAGTGCCGCCGGGGGATGGGGGGTGGAGGAGGGGGTATGATATCAATGCATACTGCGCTGTTGAGCAGCTATACCGCACCTCAGGAGAAATTCCCTAACCACAATAGCCCTAGTTTTATTGAACCGGATCGAATCAATTTGAAATACATCGTATCAAATCGAAAGTGCACTGTGCCATGGTGTTGTATCAGAAGTGAAAAAGTTCAATGAATCCCTAATCACTGCAGGGTATTTGAGGCATGCACACATATTTTATATGTAACCTCTTGGTTGTGGTGTCCGTCTGCTTGTTTCCATGGATATGTCATTGCTCTGCCTGGAATGTTCCACAGTATGACATTATACAGCCCTACTTTACATTTATTAGATTACAGGTGGAGTTATGGCTCAAAAATACCTAGAAAAACAGGTATTCTGACCGTGAATGGGGTCGCCTCTCCACAGATCTGACCTGTAACTTGGTCTGGTTTGTTCTCCGTGAAGATAGAAAGGTTTAATAGCATTTTGACAAACATTCCAGACAAAGCAAAAGCATCTCTCCCTCTACCAGAAAAGTTACTCAAGACACTTTAAACACAACACTGATTACACAAGATGAGATTGTGGAGAGATGAGTAGCTGCACTCGCACTTGCTTCACAGTAAGGAGGTTGCAGGTTTGACCCTTGAGCCTTATGTGCGGAGTTTGCATATTCTCTGTGTGTCTAGGCTGGCTTCCTTAACCCAAAAAAAAACCCCCCCCCAAAAAAAAAACACTCTTTGGACAATAGAATGTAATTTTCAACATTAAATAATAGTACTTTCTTTTATATTCCCAGTTGTTCTGTCTTGTGAATGTGACTTTTTTGTATCAATACTTGCTGAAATTAGTATTTAGTTTCAATACTAGTTTTAGTACAATTTCCGATAATTGTGACAACACTACTCCTGACAGATTGCCCCAGCGGTCACTCTGAATACCACAGTTTGTTTTCTTTGTATTTTAAATGAAAAATGGTTGGCTGTCCTACGTATATTTTTAAATCTAATCAGAGCCAATAGAACATACTTTTACATTATGTCTTAATCCTAAAAGTAGGTCAGTGTATCTGTATCTGTATGTTGGATTGTTGTTGGCACGCTGCCCTCTCCCTGGGTCTGACCTCAAAGGCTTCAGGGACTTTTTATGTGGGAACTGTTTGGTTAAAGTCAAACATAAGCAGAGAGGAGAGAGAGAGGAGAGAGAGGAGAGAGGAGGGTGGCCTTTCAGAGCCGAGTTCCTGCAGTTCTTATCAGAGCTCACATCATGTCAGGCCTGTAAAGTCTTTTCTCTCCAGAGGTTTACTCAGATTGGGATCATAATGGCACCAATATAAATACTGTGAGTGTAATTTACTAGCAGCATGCACGCTTCTACTTCGTTTCAATACAGGTTAACTAATCTCTTATTCATTAATCAGGCAGAATCATACTATATCAAATTTTGTAGTTTGTATTTTGATCATAACAGCGGAAATCAGCTGTAGAGTCCCCCAGGCTGGAAAATCCCCCAGAATTGTACCCTTTATGAAACCAAGTTAGTTAATCCATATATACTAGGATGTAACAATATCCAAATCTCACAATATGATATCGTCACGATACAAACCACGCGATATCGTGGGAAAGCTCATGATATGGCGGGGAGGCTCATGATTAAGGATATAACAATACTAAATCTCTCTGTATGATATTTTCACAATATGCATCTCACAGTAGGATATTTATTGCAAAATCTTAAAATCTTAAAATGCCTTAACAAGATTTAATCCAAAGAACTAAGACTTGAAAGTGCTTATGTAGTTCCCTCTGTCTTTTTTAGCTATTGCTGCATCATAACTCTTAATTTAAGCAAAGAAATTCGATATATTGTGGTCCATGATATTATTGTGAGAACTTTGACAATACAATATTCGGTTACTGCAACAACAAAAAACCATGATATATATTATATTAATAACACAACATGCAAGTTACAGAATCATCTCAACACATTTGTTCATGTTCAGCATAAGTAAGTATTCTGATTTGGGAGAAAATAATTTATATTTCTTCCAAATCAACAGTTATAGATGCTATGGGACATGGGGAAGAAGAAAAAAAAAATTAAAGTAGAATTTCACAGTGAACTTTTGCGACCAAATCAGGATTATATTGATATTACAAACTGAAAAAATGTGTGCCGCTTCAGGAAGATCAGTAAAATTACATAAACAAGGCCCAACATGTGGTCTGGCTACATTCATTTTATTATGATATAGAATGCTGATTTTCTAACTCAAAACATCACAGTGACTAAAGGCTGGCGAGAATGTCCTGGGCACAGCAGTTACCCGTGTGCCGCCCAAGAGAAGTGGAAGCCCGGAAGGAGGAGGGAGACGTTCCCGCCAAGAGAACGGGACGCTTGAGTTGGGACTTTCAAGCCAGAGGGACGTTTGAGTCAGTATCCATAACAGCAGTAGCCACAGTGGTGGAAGAAGCACTCAAAAATAATACTCAAAATGGAAAAGCAAGCCCGCACATGGTCAGAATTCATGTTTTTAAGATAATTTTTTGAAGTATAAAACACTTGTAAATGAATTAATGCAAATACAGAAGTTTATTTGCCGACTGTGGAACATTCCAAGCAAAGACATAACATCTTCACGAAGACAAGCAAGTAGTGGACCCTCCACTTTTAGAGTAAAATTTTTCATGTAGACTATTGACTATTAAAGAGTAACTTGTAACTTGTATAATTGTATAGAGTAACTTGTATTTTTAAGTGTGCCACACAAGCTAAACAGTTATTTATCCAAACAGTAGTAGGGGTGTGCAAAAATATCGATATATATTGTATCGTTTCATGTGATGATACAGTATCAACATCATGGGCTGCTGTTTTGATATCGCCAAGAGTATTTTTTGGTGTATTTTACAAAATTATTTTGTTACATCACTACAGTTTTGTTGTTTGTTCAGAGAAAGGGAACTCGTTTATGCAACACATTTGACATTTTCAAGACTTTTAGTATCACAACCCTGATTAAGCCATTATTTAAAAATAGAAATGTATCAGATCAATTTGAAATATACCGTATTGAATTGAAAGTGCACTGTATCG